GGGGAGTCCTCGCATCCAGATTGACATGTTTGGAAAAAATGTGAGTTCTTAACAGTACTACTGCAGTACTACTGTGGTACCACTGCAGTACTACTGTGGTACTTCACTTTGTTCCCCACAGTGAAGTACTTAACCTTGGTTTGGATGTAAACTAAATTATATTTTATTATACTATTGTTATTACTAAACTAAATTAGTGTTACCAACATATATGTATATGTATATGGGTATATATATATATATATATACCCATATACATATACATATATATACACATATATATACACATATATATACATATATATACCCATATACATATACATATATATACATATATATACATATATATACATATATATACCCATATACATATACATATATATACACATATATATATATACATATATATATATACATATATATACCCATATACATATACATATATATACACATATATATACACATATATATATATACATATATATATATATATACACACATATATATATATATATACCCATATACATATACATATATATACACATATATATACACATATATATACATACATATATACACATATATATACATATATATATATACATATATATATATACATATATATACATATATATACATATATACACATATATATACATATATACACATATATATACATATATATTAGGCGGCTCCAACACACAAGGGGGCGACCGTCACAGGAAGTGACAAAGTCAAGAAGTTTGTTTGGATTGAAGGAAGTGACCGACAGAATAAAACAGGAAACTCAGGCTTAGCCACGCCTCCCTCTGCGGTAGGGTCTGCTGCAGGTCAAAGGTCAAACTCCACACAGAGGGTCACGGCCTTAACTATACTCAGAGGTTGTTTTGGTTGACCTTCACCTGCGCTCCTCCAGGAGAAGTCCCTGGAACGGAGAGCAGAGAACATGCTGGAACAGGCCGACCGACTCGGCTGCCGACAGTTCGTCACGGCCAAGGACGTGGTGTCCGGGAACCCCAAGCTCAACCTGGCCTTTGTGGCCACGCTCTTCAACAAGTACCCCGCTCTGACCAGACCAGAGGAAGGAGACTGGGGTGAGGGGGGGCTTCACCTGTCAGCTCTCTTCATCGTAATCCTCCTCTTCATCACTCACCCTCATTACTGTCTCCTCCTCTTGACCTGTTGAGGCTCTGACTACACCCACCCCCCCTCCATTGAACTGGTGACCTTTGGTGACCCCACTCTGACAGACAGCTTTGACATGAACTTGTTTTTAAATGAAGTTTTGTGTTTTTGAAAAGCGTTGACGTGACTCCTGTTCCTCCAGGCTGCAGCAGTTGGACCAGTTCTGTCAGAGCAGCGCCCAACAGGTGTGTGAGCTGTTGGCCAATCAGAACCAGCTGATGAAGGAGAGGAACACACTCAGTCTGGAGATGAAGAAGGTACACACACACACACAACTGTTACCGGAGACCAGAGAGGAGAAGACCTTCAAGAACTGGATGAACTCTCTTGGAGTCAGTCCCCACGTCCACCATCTTTACAGGTCGGTCTACACAGACTGTCCGTGCTGACCTACTGTGTACTACTGCCTAAATACTGCCTTGTACTGTATGTGTGAATACTGTGTCCAGTGATATTCAGGACGCCCTGGTGATACTCCAACTGTACGACAAGATCAAAGTACCTGTCAACTGGGACAAGGTCAACAAGCCCCCCTACAAGGCCATGGGGGGGTGCATGAAGAAGGTACACACACACACACACACACACACACACACACACTACGAAGAGGAAAATCATTTAAATTCAGACTTGTCCCCCCCCCGACCACTTCTCTCCTCTCCAGATAGAAAACTGTAACTACGCCGTGGAGCTGGGGAAGACCAAGGCTGGTTTCTCCCTGGTGGGAATCGGGGGGGAGGACCTGTACAACGGAGTCTCCACTCTGACCCTGGCTCTGGTCTGGCAGCTGATGAGCAGGTGATCGTCTGTGATTGTCTGTGATCGTCTGTGATTGTCTGTTAGTTGACTGTCTACCTTTACACAACAACGAAGATGATGGTGATGGTGATGATGGTGATGGTGATGATGAAGATGCTGTGTTTCTCCTCAGGTACACTCTGAATGTTCTAGAAGACCTGGGTCATGGTAAAGTGGCCAAAGACTCGGTGATCGTGAACTGGGTCAATAACAGTCTGACTGAGGCGGGGAAGACTTCCACCATCTCTAGTTTCAAGGTCAGCTCCACCTCCTCCGTCACCATGGTGACCTGTAGTGTTGATAACCAACCCGTGGCTCCTGTGATCCACTCTAGGACCCGTCCATCAGTACCAGTCTGGCCGTTCTGGATTTGATTGACGCCATCCAGCCCAACAGTGTGAACTATGACCTGGTCAAAGGAGAGGCCCAGACGGACGAAGACAAACTGGACAACGCCAAGTAAGGACCTGGACCTGGACCTGGACCTGGACCTGCGGTCCTTGGCTCTTAGCTCTGATACAGGCGCTGACCTATGACCTCTCCTCTCTCCTGCAGGTACGCCATCTCAATGGCCAGAAAGATCGGAGCCAAGATCTACGCCCTGCCCTGTGACCTGGTGGAAGTCAACCCCAAGATGGTCATGACCATCTTCGCTTGTCTGATGGGGAGGGGCATGAAGAAGGTGTAAAGGTCAAAGGTCCACAGCATCCCCCGTCTCTGTCTTCTGTCTCTGACCCGGTAACAAACGACAGGTCAAAGAGGCGTAGGCAGGGTGTGACATCACCACGCCTCGGTCGGTCGGTCGGTCAGACTGTCAGTCTGACTGACTGTAGTCGTTCTTCTGACTGTCCTACTGTACAATCAGACCAGCTGTTCTCAATAAAATAACATTTTTACCAACATCTGTCTGTGGTTTTCTGTTGTTGTCACTTTGTCTGGAGCAGTCGCCGTGTGTGTGTGTGTGTGTGTGTGTGTGTGTGTGTGTGTGTGTATTACACTGATCTGGTGAGGAATAAAAACATTTTGTCCTTGTACCTGTGTGGGTGGAGACAGCGCCACCACAGTCCAGAGGCCTCTTCAAACCAGGCTCTCGAATAAAGATGAGCTCCACGATGACACACACACACACACACACACACGCACACACACACGATACATTAGCATTTTAAAGGATGCTTTTGTAGAAGTCATGTGACCCGTCCTTTCATCTGTTCTGTTTGTTCCTCAGAACAAACACAGACAGGAGACTGAGAACAGACGGACCACAGACACACCAGGACCAGGACCAGGACCAGGACCTGGTGGATGAGCTGGACCAGAACCTCAGCCTCAGCATCAGTGGCATCAGCAGGTTTGTTCCTCTGAACGTGTCACGTCTGTGGTGTCTGTGGTGTCTGTTCTGTCTGTGGGGTCTGTTCTGTCTGTTCTGTCTGTGTTGTCTGTTCTGTCTGTTCTGTCTGTGGGGTCTGTTCTGTCTGTTCTGTCTGTGTTGTCTGTTCTGTCTGTTCTGTCTGTGGTGTCTGTTCTGTCTGTGGTGTCTGTTCTGTCTGTGGGGTCTGTTCTGTCTGTTCTGTCTGTGGTGTCTGTTCTGTCTGTGGGGTCTGTTCTGTCTGTTCTGTCTGTGGGGTCTGTTCTGTCTGTTCTGTCTGTGGTGTCTGTTCTGTCTGTGGGGTCTGTGGTGTCTGTGGTCATGAAGCCTCTCACAGCTGCTGTCTTCCTGTTTCCGTGGCGATGACTAGTTGATGACGACCTGTCAGTGGACAAACCTCTGTCTTTACACACATCTGATGTTTGTTGTTCCATCACTTTGTGTGTGTGTGTGTGTGTGTGTGTGTGTGTAGTATGGCAGCTCCAGTGCAGGATTCACACAGACTCTCTGTGAAAACATGGACGGAAGAAGAAAGTGACAGAGCTGACAGTAAACTGAGCAGGTAAACACACACACACACACACGCACACACACACACACACGTACACACACACACATGATTCTACTGTGGTAATAATATAATATATATATAATATAAGTATATACAGACCTAAATGATGGATGGACGGATGGATGGATGGATGGATGGACTGATGGATGGATGGACTGATGGATGGATGGATGGATGGACTGATGGATGGATGGATGGACTGATGGATGGATGGACTGATGGATGGATGGACTGATGGATGGATGGATGGATGGACTGATGGATGGATGGACTGATGGATGGATGGATGGATGGACTGATGGATGGATGGATGGACTGATGGATGGATGTATGGTGGTGTGTAACCGGTGTATATTGTGTGTGTTTGTCCCTGACCAGAGGACAGTCCTTGTGTGACGACACGTCTTTGGAGCTGCAGAGGGTGGCAGCCAATGACAGGAGAGAGCTCAGGTCACATGGAGCTCTGTCCAGGTGAACGAGCGGCTCAGTTTGGTGTGGTTGGTCAGAACAGAGCTGATGCTGACGGTGGTGTGTACCTGTGTGTACCTGTGTGTAC